CTGAAACACAGAGGATGAAGAGCGCTCCTCCATCACCCATCTCTCCTGGATAACCTTTTCCCCTCTCAGATATGGCAAACTTTACTCTTTTTCGCCAGAAGCATGTGCTTGGGGACCCTAAAGAAAGGACACAGCTCCCCTTTGAGAACAGCCCCATTTAGTGCTTGTCTGACTGTTGCTTGTGTGTGTACATTGTACAGCCCCAAAGGCACAATCCCGAAGTAATTTTCACTGGGGCTTTGCTGTCTTGTAGGGGAGTAAGGATTCCTTGAACACCAAGCTAATTCTTCCCTGTAAAAGCTTCATCAGGCAGGAGCTTAGCTTCCAACCCTCCTGCATGCGTCCAACCCCGAGCGTGCCCCACAGCTACCCACCTGGAACACCATGTGGCTGACAAACGTGTGCTTGGTGCAGCGAACCACGTACTCCGTCTCCAGCTCCGTGAGGGCCACAGGCTCTGGGGAGGACTTGAAGAGCGGGCCCAGCCCCCGAAACTCCGGGATTGCCCCCAGTTGCTCTGGAACAGAGGTCACAAACCACTGCCTTCCCTAGCCTGAACAGGACATGAGCATGTCCACCCGCCAGGAGTGAAGGATGAAGCTGGAAGCTCCTGGAGGAGCCGGGAACAGGCTGGCAGGGTCAGGCAGGCTCAGCAAGGGCTGGCTCTCAGACACACTGTCCTGCTCCACAGCCAGAGGGAGGCCTGGCCCCAGCTTACCTTGGAATATTTCTTGCCGTGTTGCTGCCACCTTCTCTGGCTGTTTGACTACAGCAATGGGGGTAGTTTCTGAAAGAGAGGAAAAAAAATAGAAGGTGTGAAGGTGAAGAATGGACTAGATCAAGAAACAGGTGGATGTTTGGAGAGGGATTTGAATAAGGACAGAAAGGAAGCTTTTTTCTCATCCTTGCTATCAAATAGGCCCATATTTAGCACCCCAAATACATTTGCAACTGCAATAGCTTCAAAAAGGATTACCAGCTATTACTATTATTAGTAGCTGGACTAAACAAACCTTAATGTGGCAGCAATGAGATTTGCCAGCCTTAGACTTTACAGAAGATACAATCTCATAAAATTCAAATAGGATAGAGCTCAGCAATTATCAGCAGGCCCAACAGACTACTGTTTAAGGGTTGGAGCTGCTGGGAGGTTGCCTGCACTTTTGACAGGCATTTGGAGATGATTCCTCACCTGCTCTTTGCTCAGTGATGGGAGCTGTTGCCAAAGGAACAGATTTCAGATCAAAAGGTTTCTCGGAGGGCTCCAGGGTGTACTGATGAAGAGCCCTCTCCAGTCCAGGGATGGACACTGCCAAACCTTGGGACAGACAGGACAGATCACTGAGACCACAGATAACAGCAGCACCTTTTTT